AATACTTCTTCCCCGTTACCCGACCACACTCTTCGATTCCTTTCTCCCCCAATGTCCCGCCACACTCATCCCCGAACCCTTTGATGTATACAGCGACTCTCCCTTCGAAAGCGTCAGACGAGACGTCCACAGGTACACCCGAGTTGACATGGACAGGTTGGAGATCGTGAGGCGAGAGCGAAGGTCCCGCGAGGACTCTAAGATGGGGCATCTTTGTCGTGTTCCAGAGGGGGTATTATATCTAGTTGGGTAGTAGTATGTAGTCCAAGGGCTTTCTATAGTCTTGGCCCTTCGCCAAGTTGGAGGTATGGGGTTGATCGACAGAAAGAATGGACGAGAGTAGACCGGCTACCCTCACACCAAGCGAGCGAATAAGAGCAGGACTAACGAGCGCAGCACGTCACTAGTTCTGGTGCCTCCTCGGCCAGTGAACCCAACCTAAGACACGCCTTGCTGCGGACAGGGAAGGAACCCTGAGACGTACGTGCTAGTGGTGGCTGTAGGAACTTGAACCTAATTTAGCAATGGAAGCGAGCGACGAATGTCCGCCAGCAGTCTACTTCGGTCCAAGAATGAATGTTGCGCACACTGAGCCTGGAGAATATTGGCGTAATAGAGCGGGAAACGAGAGTAGCCAGTAACCAGTAACCAGCAACGTTGCAACAAGCCCCCTGAGCTCGGTTGAGTTGAAGCAGCTTTAGATTAGACGCTTGAGATATATGGTAGCGTAGCGCTCGCGGTTTTTGGTTACCGGTCTTCTCGGGCTCCGTCCATAACCGAAGACTTGCTTTCATCCAAGAAACTAGAGCACAGTTTTCGCAGTACGTTTGTGAATTTCTTGCTTGCATGAGACGGCCCATGAGATCTAGGAAGAAGAAAGATGAAGAAGCTCGGGTCCAAAGTGGATCTAAAGAATAGTACCGTCACCCGCAGTCGTCCTATGGGAATACAGGGTGTCCGTCTACCGTCTTCTGCCGTTCATCAGTCCTTGCAGGACTCGTGTGATGCATGACGTTCCTAGGGAAAGCATCGAAGAACCCTGGCAATACTGAGATACGTATCGAGCTATCAGCTGTTAAGCCAGGGAAGACTGATAGATACTCACATAAGATGAGAGCCCTTAGTTCATCTTGTCGACTACTAGCTCATTGAGCTTGTTTAGTACCGTGCGGCATGTTAACGTACTATTCGCATCGTAAGGTTGTTTTGATGATAGCCGAGGACAGTTAAGAGGTAGGGTTGGAATCTGCGGAAATTGTCGAGCTCAGTGCTCAATTGCTCACACCAAAATCTAGACCGAAAAGATGTTAGATGAGAAGACTGTTTTCGAGAAGATATATACAAATGGAACGCACCTCAAGCTTGACTGGTATATTTGAAAATCCTGACGTCCACATCATTCCGTATTGCAGCACAAGATGGACCGGCTTTCGAAGGGTGACGGAAGCGAATCTGGAGCTGTCGAATAGGCTGTCGCTAGTAGTATTCGTACCTTGGGTGCGCACCAAGTGTGCACGGAGTCGAATAGAGTGGGCGCAATTTGAACGAGTGCGCGATAGCACGAGCGCACGTTTGCCACGGACTTCAGAGAAGTCGGCTCGTTTCAATGCGGGTGATATATGTCAAGACACCAATATAATGGGTGCATTGAGTTTTGACAAGCCTGTGACTCAACAGTTGAAACGAGCATCAAGACATCCCGATGCTCCTCGACATATGAATTCGGTGATGCTTCAAGAGCCCATTAGTACTGGGATCATCTGTCTGGCCATGCTGGACGCGCAACGAGTATCATTGAGAGCGAAGGTAGAATTACTTACGCCTCATAACGGTCAATGCAAAGGAGGTGTTTTTGCGCGATCATAGAATTTCTTACCGGAGGATCCCCCGAGAGCGCTATCGCCGAGCGCCTGTGATCCAGATTGATCTGTTGCACTGGAATGATGGCAGTTCTGGACCACCACAAGGAGGTCGATGAGACTCCGGATACCACCTCTCATCCACTGTTTGGAACAGATGGGCGGTGAGCAGGATTTCTACGTATCGAGAGATTTTGTTGCATCGAGAGCAGAGCCTCTATATCTGTGCAATGCTCGAAGCAGGACACAGCGAAATGAGAGAATACAATGCAATCCGAGCGGTATCCAGGGTCCCTGCGAGAGTCCAGAGCGGGCTTGTCAAGCGATCAAAAACCCCAGGTTGCACAGAGTGCTCGTCCCAAAGAGGACGAGTGTTCCTGAATCACGGGTAGGGCTGAGAGCTCTCTTAGGGCGGCGGTGTCACGTCTTTCCGTCCAAAAGTTTCAAGTGTCGAGTCGGTGTCAGCGCTCGCTGCTTTCTGACCAGGTCTCGTATTTGTTGGCAGGTTTGTTTGTCTCTCGTTTGAGCCACATTCTCAGAGCTATAATACTCTCCCAAGGTCCGTTTCCGTGTGATCTTTCCCCCTTCCCCCTCCTTTCCTTTGTTCCTTTGATATCCTTTCATCCATCTATTGTACATCGATTACACGCCGTGGAACGACAGCTAACATTGGAATAACGACAGGCACAGTATTCCCCTTTCAACGATAGGTCGGATCTGTTACAGGACCCACGTTGACTCTCACTCTCCTTGGTAACATCGCTCGGCCAGGGAAAGCAAAGAGAGGCCTCGCTTCGGTCAACACTCCACTTCTATCGCTTTCCTTCATTCGTTCGTTGGGCAACTGTCTTCGTCGTTCTTTCAGCATCACCTTCATTACGCCCCAAACCATCATTTTGACCCACTACAAAGACATTCATCCATATCGCCCCCCTGACCTTCATATTTATTGAAGACGCCCAGACTCGACACGAAAAGACTCCTTCCTTTACCTAGCCGCACTCATTGGTCGGCCGATATTGCACAACAGAAGATCACTAGAGCTCTATCAAGCTATAGACGGAACGAGCAATGTTCACACCTCCTGCATCGCCTCTCCCCCCACGAACGCGTCTTCCTGCTGATCATCGCTCGCAACAGACAGGAGGCTCGAGTGATGAAGAAGACAATCTTTCTTCGTCCCCATCTGCATCTGCAGGGTTCTTGACGCCCGTGTCCTACTCTCGCACGACTTCCAGTACCTCTGCTGGGAAAGAAGATGGTGGCAGGTCTTCACTGACGCTTTCACCCTCCGAGAAACCCTTCTTGCCCGCGCCGGTACAGGATAAGGAGATGCTTGAATACGCCGAATCCGTAGCCACTAAACACCGAACTGCCCGTAGAACGAAATGGACAGTCCTCCTCGTCCCAGCGATACTCATCCTCATTACGCTTTCGACAAAATACATCTCCCACCCGGCCGCTTTCGATATCTTCTCTGGGTCGGAAGTCGTCTCGGATGAACCAGAGAGCATAGGTAGTATCTGGGATTGGCGTCTACACAAACGGCATCCAGACCCACAACAGGATTCCTCGACCGCACTCTCATTTCCCTCACCCTCATCATCATCGGGGGGCACGCCGACGTCTTCATCAGCCACCACATCGTCCTTTGCCCCCGGTCCCTCGCAATCCCTCCCTCCTGTCCCTTCCTCAGCACCGCCGCTGCCTACACCATTCCCTCAACCATGGGACACAACACTCTCAGCGAATTTCTCCACTGTCGGCTGCCAACAATTCTTCAAGAACATGACGCTCTCCAGCGACTTCCGAAGTTGTCGTCCCTTCTCGCTATTGGTGCAAAGCAGCGATGCGTTTATCGAGGTTGGTCTACTCTTTTCTTCCTTACTCGGGCCCTGTGTTTTGTTGGGTTTCGGCTTTGTGTCGGGTACGATGATTGCTAACATCCGGCTTGTTTTTGTGATTGAAGCAGGCGCAAAATAACTTGACGACGCTGAACGACATTATTTGGGGAACGTGCAATACGGACACCTCTACGGACCAGTGCGAGAGTAATATGGCTTGGTTCAGTGATAACATCAAGAAAACATGTTCGACTGAATTGCAGAACCAGAATCCACTAGTCATTCAAGCAGTCAGCGGTACGTCCATTCCTTCTCACCGGTTCCATGTTCATCATCCTCACTAACACGACTTGAATCACATCACCTAGGCCTGGATACATACTCCCTTCTCCGACAAACAGCCTGCCTCGCCGACCCATCGACGAACGTCTACTGCTACCTCCTCGCAGCACACAACTCCAACCCCTCCGATCTCTACTTCTACCAACTCCCCTTAGGTATCAAACTACCCAACAGCGCCAAACCCTCCTGTTCAGCATGCACGAAAAGCGTGATGGCGTTGTACGAAGGCGCGTTGGATCAGGGTAAGAATGGGGGTAATGGGAATAACGCGACGAGTGCGAGTTCGAGTGATGGGTTGAAGAAGACGTATGACTCTGCGGCGAATGTGGCGAATGGGCAGTGTGGGCCTGGGTATGTACAGGGGAACGTGGTTACTTCGGGCGCGAGTCGGTCTTTTGGTCTGGTTGAGAGCAGTAGGATGGTGATGGGTGTGTTGGGTGTTGCATCTGTGTTGTTGGCTTTGCTCTCGTGAGAGGAGGCGATGTACACTTGCTCTGACACATGATTGCCCTTACGACGACAACACGCTCACTCACGCCCCCCTTTCCTCTCCCCTTCACCCATCTGGTCTCATTATCTTTCCTCCCTTTCTTGCTTTTCGGATCCGGTGTTTACATACCTCTTTCCTTGGCTCGACGTTCGGTGTTTACGTATCTCTCTTAATAGTTATTGGTATTTTAGCTCCTTGGATCGGACGTTCGTGCATATATACCTTGAAACTTTTTGCTTGCTCCTGTCGTGTGCTTCCTGCGGTTTTTGTTCTGTCTCTGCATACTTACTGTACACGGTGTCTGAGATAAGAGATTGCATGCATGGAAATGACGTTGAAACTGGCCCCGGCCTGGTGGTAGTTCCCTTTCACTCAAACTTCCTCTGCTTCTACCGTAATGAACCTAAGGTCCAAGACAGTCTCAAAACAGTAGAAAATCGGGATACGCAAAAAACTATCAAAATTCTCTCTGCCTGGGAGTCGAACCCAGCTTTCGCGCGACCGTCTGAAATTGAATGACAGGCGCGTGTACTAACCGATATACTAGCAGAGACATCATTTGTGACTGACTTTGAATACATATCCCGGTTGTTATCGAATCTTCGCAGTAGTTGAAGTTTGAACAACATCATGGGCTAGTCCTTTCGGTTCAACTTCAGGCCTTGGCCAGTAACGACTGCCGTCTTCTCTGTGGAGCAGAGAATCTGTATCCCCAGATCTGTATTCAACCAAGACTACAGTCCTCGGATATGGCCTCGTCACCGACGTCGACTGAGGGCTACTAAACCTACACTGGGTACTCTTACTTCATCGCATTGAGGACTAGTTCGGTGGTGAGTGTAGATTTACGTTGGACATCTGTCACTTAGGCCGGATATGATAGTATTGGCCGGATACGACACGACGATGTTATATTGCTTGGTGAGTTGGCATCGCGTCAAAGATTGAAGCACATACAATGTCTTTCCAATCAAGACAAACTCTGATGGTTTGACTCCTATATAATAATCTATAAGATGTCGCACTCCTACGACCTAGGCACTCTGACGCTTCTCAGCTCTTCCTGCATATCGTATGAAACACCCGAACCTATCTGTTTGGACCCTGGTTCGCATCAGGGTCATCTGGCAAGAACCAGGTGGACGAAAGTTGATGCGTGAACAACTTTCGTATATCCCCCGCCCGGATCCCTGAACAGACTTACCAAGGACCCTTGACCCTCATTGTAGCTTCCATGATTGGCTGAGACCCTAGATAATGAGCGATGATCAGGACGCCGCCGCGCATATATATGTTGCTGGTATGGGTCGTAATAGGTTACCAAGTACAACTCTTCGCTCTTATCCCTCTCAAACCACTCTCCCAAGACCGCCATGACGACCGAGTACAAGTTGCGCAAGTTAGTCAACCCTACCAGTGCGTAACACATTACGGCCATAACATACAGGTGCTCAATGAACTCTTTAATCTAACCCGTACATTTTAGAGGAGGAACTTGACGCGGCGGCACGTATCGCAGCTGAAGCGTTCCACGGTAAGTCCAACACCTCCTCCGAATCGCACCGTACTTGTCCCCTGATTTTCTCTGAATAGATGACTTCAACCGAGCTTGCCTCGGAGGAAACTGGGACCTTCTCTTCCCATTCTGGAGAGGCGTTGTAGGAGCACAACAAATCGGCGGCGAGAACGTCGTCGCTGTCACAGACGATGGTAAATTCGTAGGACTGGCCGGGTGGTATCCTCCTGGTCGGATGTTTCTTGAAACGTGAGTCACGCTCCGTTCTGGTGCAAGACTGCCTAATAGCCAATTTTGTACTTGAAATTCAGACCCGACCAAGCGGAGGATGGGTACAGTGCCTTTGTGTCAAAACTGCCTGCCGAGCAGATGGAGTGGTTCATGCAATACGTCAGTTCATTTCCTCAAAGAATATCTTCCTTGGTACTGACCCACAACATGACTCATATACATAACAGTTTATGCCGAAGTACAGCGAAGTGACAACACAAGCCTTCGGGGAAGGCACAAAGAAAGACGTGTGGAATCTACAGACACTCTGTGTGCTCCCCGAGTACCAGCGTCGCGGAATCGGTCGTTCGCTCGTCAAGGACAAGGAGGATCAGGTTAGTGCTGAGGTTTGTTTCCGTAGTAGCTCAGTGATGTAATCAGTCGCCTGACACAGATCATTGCGGAGAAGTCTGGCCAAGCAATCACTTTAGAATCTGAAGTAGAGAAGAATGTGAGTTCTACTTTTGTCGTACGACTATCGACCTTACTCATCTTCACGATGCAGACCGAACTGTACAAGAAATGGGGATTCGAGGTGAAGGGTAAATCGCATTTTGAGAGCAAGCACGGAGATTTCGACATGTGGTGCTTGTACAAAAAGCTGCCGTCGTCTTAAAAGCTTAACGTGTATAATATTCGATGACTTTGGGGTTATGGAGGAAAAGAACACGCTGGCAGCTGAGAGTAGTATACACCATTCACACCATGCATCTGTTATTCCTGAGGCTGCAAGCATACAAGCTGACTTCAAGGGGGTAAAATGGATAGAGGCGAAATCAATGCACTAAGGGGGAATCGAACCCCCGGCGGGTCGAGCTATGAACTCGAATGGCAACGACCCAGGTTACCACTACCCCATTAGTGCTTGGAAAGCACGGCATCATAGGGTATACATTATATGTGCGGCCGTCTTCGGAGTCGCATGAGCTCTGGGCATGACGAAATGGTGGCCGAGAAGGTCGCCGAGATTCTGGGAGAAGGACCTCGAGTTGCATCCGGGTGCGCAGCTTGGCGAATTCATATCTCTTCTCTTCCCTCTTGCCCAACGTCTGACCCAACTTAGCCTGCGCAGCGACATACTAACCAGCGTAGCAGACATTGTCAGACATAATGGCCAACAATGGCTGTCAGGTGACGACGCATCTGGACGAGATGCCATACGCTCGCCAGCCATGGAAAGCCCTCTACGTCTTCCAGCGACTTCTCACCACCCTTCTCCTCGTTCCGTACTGGGCAGTCAAGTATACCATTCTGCCCCGTTCATACCGCCCTCGACCGTCTTGGTCAATCAAGCAAATCATAGCCGTTAACTTCACGCGAAGGGTGTACAGGGTGGCTGAAGTCGCCGGGGTGACATGGAGCACGCGGGATCCCGACCAGCCATGCGACAATAAGAGCCTGAAGGAGACTAGGTTCGAATGGGTTGACCCACTGCCGGAGGACCTGAGGACGGGAATTGTGCTCGACGACCAGGTCCCGTTCAGGCGAGTGGGCACGTTCGTGTGGCCGAAGGAGAAGAGGCTTCCTACCACATCTCCTTCCACCAAATCCACTGCTGATACTGGCGGTAAGCATTGGATGTCTCTTGTGTTACATGCAAAGCGGATATAGATGAGCGAGGTGAACCCCCGGTCACACGATTCAATAGGTATCCTCTCGAAACCGTCAAGCACTGTTGACGGCGGTAGTAACGATGCCTCCTCTACTCTAGCGTTGGATGAACTGGAGGCTTCCATCGGGCATACTCCCGTCATTGGTATATTCATGCATGGCGGTGGGTATTGCCACATGTCCGCACATGAGAGCAGCAGCACCTCCAAGATCCCACGTCGACTCATGAAGGCAAGTAACACGCCTTCTTGTGGCGTATTCGTGAGTAATTTCTAACTTTAGTACAGGATCGCGCATTCGACGAGATACATGGTGAGTAAATGCGAAAGCAGCCCATAGCACGTAAATAGTGACCTAGACTACTATAGCCGTCGAGTATCGTCTATTGCAACACGCACCCTTCCCGGCTGCAGTGCAAGACGCAGCAGCAGTATACGCTCACCTCGTCAGAAAGTATCAGAAACCCGGACCTGCAACATCGCATCATTCCGCCGAGTCAAGTAACACAAACTCCCCGGGTTCATCTTCCGCCTCTCACGAAGACCAGAATAACACAGTCGAACACTCCACCCAAAATCTTCTATCGGCTTCATGGACTCCTCTAACATCGAAACATGCAAAGGCTAAAGCGGAAGTACACGAACGTGTGGTCGAAGCGTCGTCTATGAAGAACTGCAAGATTATCCTTATTGGCGATAGCGCAGGTGGAAACCTCGTGCTTGCACTTGCGAGATGGATCAGAGACGAGGGCGTACTTCCCCCTCCTGACGGTTTACTTCTACTCTCGCCTTCGTGTGACCCTTGTGAGTATCTCAATAGGTCATGAGCGTCGTAGGTCGAACGAGATTCCTGACAGCTCCATTTGATCAGCCCACGCATTCCCCGACGCACCCTCATCATACGTCCCCCGCCCACACGGCTCAACCGACTACCTCGTCGACACCCCCGAACCCCGAGCCCTCCTCCAACGTACCTTCCTAGGGCACAACCCCCTCGAAACCATGCACAGTCCCTACGTCAGCCCCGCCTCCCAAAAAGTCCTTCGCGCATTCTACGGAGACCAATTCGCCGCCAGCGTCGAAGATTTGACCATTGGGAAGTTGGGGAAGGATATGAGGAGGAACTTGAGGACGATGGTTAGCGTGCCTAATACCCCCAGTATGGGTTTTACCACCCCGAATTTGGTCGTCCCTCCCACTCAGACTGAAGCCAACTCTCTGTCGAATTCGCCGAACCTCAATTTCGACCTATCGACCCGACCAAGTCCGACCTCCCTTGCGCATCCTCTTCTATCATCTCCCCGTGGTTTAAGCCTCTTTACGGACTTCCCGCGTTCATGTGTCGTTCTAGGCGATGCCGAACGTCTCGAACGGGAAGTGACGAAACTCGTAGGAGCGATGGAGAGGGATGGAGTGAAGGTGAGGACGGTATGGGTGCAGGATGGCGTGCACGATGTGTTGATGATGGGTTGGTGGGATGAGAAGGTGAGAGATAAGGTATGGAGAGAAGTTGAAGCTTGGGTGGACGATGTTGCTTGTGGAAGGGATGAAGTCGAGTCGGACATCGATGAGGGTGGTAGCCGTATGTAGAGATGATTCGTCTAATGGGGCGATTTGTTCTGTTAACCTTGTATAGTGCTTTACGGACATACTTTCTATGTAGACCTAATCCGCGGTTTATTCTCAAAAGCACCCGTCGTGAGCGCAACACGTTTCATGTGCTAGCTGCATGCTCAGTATAGCCTATAGGCAAAGAAAAAAATACCACTATAATCCATATGCACTAAGGGGGAATCGAACCCCCGGCGGGTCGAGTATACAACTCGTATGGCAACGACCCAGGTTACCACTACCCCATTAGTGCTTGCAAGCATGTCCCTCGCATGGCAACATATCCACAGCGGTCGTACTGACTCGTATACGTCCGGCGACTTATCTCACTCATATTGCGTGGCATCCCTGTAGCCTCTTCAGGCTCCAGTATACATATAATACTGAGCAATCACACCCCGTTGTCTTCATTCTGGTGTAATCAGGCTCACTAGCTGCGCATGAGTCGGACAGGTCCCAAGAAAATGGGTAATAGGCTCATGAGCATCCGATCCGAGCTACCGTTATTCCAGAAGTCACTGGCACTGGCAGAAACAAAATCATAGT